AGAGACACTACATACTGATATACACCTGAACATCAGCAGGAGAGGACTCTTTAAAGTAGAGACACTACATACTGATATACACCTGAACATCAGCAGGAGAGGACTCTTTAAAGTAGAGACACTACATACTGATATACACCTGAACATCAGCAGGAGAGGACTCTTTAAAGTAGAGACACTACATACTGATATACACCTGAACATCAGCAGGAGAGGACTCTTTAAAGTAGAGACACTACATACTGATATACACCTGAACATCAGCTCCTCTTGCTCTGTAATGTATTATTTTCCTACCTTAAAGGCTCCGATACGCTGTCATACGTGTTGATGTTAGATGTGTGTGTGTTTGTTTCGTTGACCCTCCCCTCCCTCCAGCCATGTACTCGGTGGAGATTAAAGTAGAGCGGGACAAAGTGACGGGGGAAACACGGGTCCTCTCCTCTAACACCACACTTCCTGTTGACCTCTCTCACCACGGGGTCAAAGTGTACGAGGACGAGCGGAAAGGTGATGTCGGAAAATACAAATATAGTGAAAACTCAGATCCGGCTTTACGAGAGGTTTCCCGTTGAACACAAACAAAAACTGAGTTCTGATTGGATAGCAGGAACCTCTCTTAAAGTGAAACTGACCGCATGATGCCGCTCTGCAGCCTCTTGTCACGACGGGCCACTGTGGACTATAGACCTTAAAGCAAAGATACGCTTCAATGCAGATGACATTCATTTAAACGCATGTGGTGTAGGAGCTTCAGACTGCATTTCATTAGAAACTGATCAAAATCAGTTTAAAATATACATTTTCAATTTGCTAACGTCACGTCCAATGACTTAAATAATGAATGTGTTAAAGGGTGCACTCTGACAAACACCTATCTTCTGATCTAATTTTAACATCGCTGCCGGTAAGACTAGTTTTGTGAATCCTTTGCAGTCTAGTTCGTTCCTGACCGTTCCTCTCAACCTTTCCCTCTCAGTGGTCCACGAGATGAACGGAGATGACGGCGTCCAGCTGCTCAGCTTCTCCCAGGTGGAGGAGCTCATCTTTAAAGCAGACGAGGCCTCGGTGGTCTCTCACACCGGAGACACCGTGACCTCCCTCCCCACCGCGGAGGTCCAGGAGGAGGAGGAGGAGAAAAAGGAGGAGAAAGAGGAGGAGAAAGAGGAGGAGGAGGTCCAGGAGCCTGTGGAGATCCCAGGGGTGGAGGCACAACCGATTGTCGAGCTAAACGTGGAGGAGGCGAGCGCGGAAAACCCGGTCACGATGGTGTTCATGGGGTACCAGAGCGTGGAGGATGAAGACGAGACGAAGAAGGTTTTGGGCGTTCAGGGCAGCGTGAAGGCCGAGCTGGTGCTCATCGACGACGGGAAAACATCACCAGACGAAGCCAAAACACCGACCCTCCCTCCGCCTGCTTCGCCCAAACCGAAATCTGCCTCCCCCGCGCAAACGCCCGTCTTCACCGACTTGCCGCCCGCTAATAAACCCCAAGAGGAGGCCGCCATGACGCCGAGTAACGGGGGAACGCCGAGTGAGGTGCAGGAGATTAAAAAGGAGAAGCAGCCGTGTAAGTGCTGCAGCATCATGTGATCCTGCAGGAGGCGTCCATATTATAATCTGGGACAAAAAACTACAAAAACTAAACTCCACCCACTGCCTCAGCCTAACAACATGACTTCATTTCCTGCTGTTTTATAAAACCTTTCTTTACTTTTTCTATTTCCTTGAAGCCTTTTTACTTTTTTACTCCTCATGTTGATTAGCTTAGCGTTAGCATTAGCCATGCAGTCATGAGACCTGTACGACTAACCTCCTCCTCCTCCTCCTCCCCTCTCTCTCTCTCTCTCTCTCTCTCTTTATAAGCTACATCATATGAAAAAGTGAATTAATTTTAGACTTGTATTTATTTGATTTTGTATGTTTCTCCAGCAGAGTCACATGATTCTGTTTGTCGGAGAGTTTCAGCTTTGCTTTTGGTTTTATAAACGAGAAAATAAAGTGAGCTGACAGATGAGTGGATTCTGTTTCTGTTTGCCGTACCATCACATACCATGGTGTCCTGCATGATCTCCTAAACCTGACAACACAAACCATCACTGCAGATATTATTTGCTAGACGATGACGTGTTTTTTTTAACCTCAGAAATCTGTGGTGTCAACAACGGCGTTCCTAAACAACAAGTCTGAAAACCCAGTAATAGCCAAGTTAGCTTCGTTAGCATTAACAGTTTATAAAAACGCATATACACCTCCTAAGATAGCAGTGATAAGGGCAATAAGGACTATTTGAGGCGAACCTTTAGGCTGTTTAGTTTGTTCTGCACCGATCAAAAGAGATTATTCTTCCTCTTTATCTCTGTCTGTTAAAGGGACAAATATGTGGAATAAGTCAATTAAAATGTCTCCTGTCCTAAACCAGAGCTGGAGATTCTCCACAGGAAGTGACAACGATAAAAAGAGGTCTCTTTAGTGGGACCTTTCAAAAGAATTGGAACGTTTTACAACCGAACTCCGTCTCTGTTTTCTGGAAATAAGTGCAAGTTCTTGTCCATTTTTAGCGGTAGACCGTCATACTGTAGCGAACACTGATGAACGTGCACAGCTGGAAGAAAAACCTGCAGGATCAAAGGCAGTGAAGAGAGGGATTTGTATTTAAAACCAGGATAGATAATCCGCGTTGTGAAAGGAAAACAAATCCAACACGCTAACGCAGGTTCAGCGGCGTCACTGTTAGCTTCGGTAAAAACAAACGGACCGTCGTCAGGTTTAAACACTTCCTGTCTTCCATCAACAGATCACAGACACCACCATCGTGACCACACAAACAAAGATGGCCTACTGAGTGGAAAGAGATGAGGAGACGGCCGCTCCTTGTTTGTGTGAAAGAAGCGCTGAAGCTCATCGTTACAAACGGAAGAAAACAATTATTAAACAATAAAGAGTCTGAATTTTCTAATCAGACAAAAATAAATCAAAGTTGGAAACGTTGATCTGTTAAAAGCTGTAACGGTGGATTCAAGTGTCATCTTTGGAAAGAGCATGCTAACAGTTTCCCATCGTTTCCAGTCTTTATGCTAAGCTAAGCTAACCTGCTGCTGGCTGTAAGATATGTCTTAATGTTTAAATGTTGCTTTAATCGTATAGTAGCCATGATTAAGAGATGTAGTAAATTGAAAAGAACAACACCAGATCCATGTTGCATAGCTTAGTAGCTGCTGGATGCCTAGCCTTAGTTTAGATTACAGTCAGATGGTTAGCCGCTGCATTGCATCTCTACTTGCTAGCAGAAACACCTTTGCTTTTTAACCTTAGGCCTACATATGTTATTGTTGGTTCAAATCTAATGTTATCTAAAGTCATTAGGGAGGCAGCAAACTAACCAATCATAGTCATTGTGCTAAGAGTAATATTAATGTGCAAGCTAAGGTTAGCCAGCTAGCTTTAACTTAGCTGCTTAGTTGCTTATGTTATGTTAATTAAAAAACAGCAAACTTGCGGTTGTTTTTTTTGTATGTGAGCTGAAGAGAAGGGCGAGGCAAACGTCTCGTCCTTAAAAACCTTAATTCATATGTTAATGTCAAGCAAGCGTCTGACCTCCCCATTACCAAGTCCATCGATCTGTCTGAAACTCTGACATTCAGGAAGTGATAGAGACTGAATGAGAGAGCTGGGTATTAATTATTTATACATTAAACAGGATGAATCTTAAAACCAGACCTCTTCTGCTGGACTACTGAGAAATAAACCTGCATTAAACCCCATCAGCCGGCAGTGATCATTAATATTAAACACAAGGGGAAATAATAAAGATGTCTAGACTGGATCCCTGTGGAGCTCCTCTGATTCCTCAGCTTGTACACTTCACATGTTCACTAACAAATATGAACCCACAGACTCAGTGTGTGTGAGCGTGTTGCTAACAGTTTGATGCTAACGTCCTTGAATGCATGGAAACAGTTTTATCCTTTTTGTTTAAGACATTTCTCTCCTACCCTGTTAATTATCATGTGCTGTTTTCAAAGCCTTCAAGTTTTTTAAGGTCTTTCTTTGCATAATAATAAATAAATACGTGAATAACAGACAAACTCTTGATCTCAGGTCCCTCTTACAAGAAGAGGAGATTTGCATTAAAAATTTGAAACCAAACATACATTCTGCTGAAATAAACTCTTTACTAACATTGAAAAGTATGTTTTAATAATGTAGAAAACACTCTTTTTCTCGGAAATAAGATTAATTTGTATACATTTCAATCTATTTTGAATCTTTACTTGAATATTTCTCTTCTGAAATGGACCAATCTGCACAATGACTACTTTTACTGTCGCTACCTTCACTATATTTTGATGAGAATACTTTTCTCAATTTTTAGTTGTGTAACATTTTGAATGCAGGACTTTTACTGAAACAGAGTATTCCTACACTCTGGTACTTCTACTTTTACTCAAGTACAAGATCTGAGTACTTCTACTTTTACTCAAGTACAAGATCTGAGTACTTCTACTTTTACTCAAGTACAAGATCTGAGTACTTCTACTTTTACTTAATTATGTAAACCAAAACTAACACGACAACATAATCTTCATGATAATTCATCCTAACTCTTCTTTTGGTAATTCAACATCTATTTTGTCCGTTTTGTTTCACTTGTCATTTACTTATTCAGATAAGATAAGATAAGATGGTGCTTGATTGATCCTAATCTGGGAACGTGTTTGTGTTGCAGCAGAATAACATGTTGGTAATATTTGGTCTTTGTTTATCCTTGTTTGTAGTCAGTTTGTGTCGTTGTATTAATTTTGCAAGTGTTTTTGTATTTCTGTTTTCTCACTTTGTGTTTCCATTGAGACTGATTTGTATATTTGTCACACTGTGTGCAGAAAGATATGTATTTCTGGGTGTTTTACACTTCCTTTCAAACTTTCTTTTCCCTAGAGGAACTTTGATATTTATATAAAACAACTTTCCCCACTTAAAAACCAGAGTGTGTGATATTCAAAGTCTTCCCTCATGGTGCTTTTCTGAATCTCTTTTCCAGTGTTTCCTGCCGGCATCCTCCAGCCCACTCTCTACAACCCAGAGTTCCCACAGTGAGTATCCATATTCAGAGGTGCGAAGTAGTGGAGTACAAATACTTTGTTACTGTACTTAAGTACATGTTTCTGGTATCAGTACTTTACTCCACTACTTATTTTTCTGACCACTTTTTTACATTTTGAACCCAAATACCTGTACTTTCTACTTCTTACATGTTGAACTCAAATACCTGTACTTTCTACTTCTTACATGTTGAACTCAAATACCTGTACTTTCTACTTCTTACATGTTGAACACAAATACCTGTACTTTCTACTTCTTACATGTTGAACTCAAATACCTGTACTTTCTACTTCTTACATGTTGAACACAAATACCTGTACTTTCTACTTCTTACATGTTGAACTCAAATACCTGTACTTTCTACTTCTTACATGTTGAACCCAAATACCTGTACTTTCTACTTCTTACATGTTGAACACAAATACCTGTACTTTCTACTTCTTACATGTTGAACCCAAATACCTGTACTTTCTACTTCTTACATGTTGAACCCAAATACCTGTACTTTCTACTTCTTACATGTTGAACTCAAATACCTGTACTTTCTACTTCTTACATGTTGAACTCAAATACCTGTACTTTCTACTTCTTACATGTTGAACTCAAATACCTGTACTTTCTACTTCTTACATGTTGAACTCAAATACCTGTACTTTCTACTTCTCTCATTTTCCAAACAGGCTGGTTCCTT